GTCTGAAATTCTTTCAGCTAGAAGCATCTGCCGAAAAGACCGATGCCGGTAGCGACAAAAACTGCGAGGAACTCTGCAAAAAACGCATCTTCGCACGGGCAGCCGGTGCGCTGGCCATTTATTTTTAATGAAATGGAATCGGAAAATAAGCTTTCAGCATAACACGAGAGCTAAATTAAATTTACCGTGAAATGAAATTTAAAGTCTCACTTTTCAGACAATAAGTGTTTTTTTTTTTGTTTTAAGCTAAAAGCGACCGAAGATTACTCATCTAGCAATCGTTAACAAAGTTCTCGTCAAAAATTCCTATCGTCTAAAAATCTATGTTTACACATTACAAAAAGAGTACGAAAATTCCAAACGGACATCGAAACTCACTTCCACACCGTCTTCACCCGTATAGCCACAGCGTGTGACACGACAATCCGGAAAGCCGCAAACGTTGCCTGTTTTGGAATGCATAAAATAAAGCGTACTCATATCAATATCAGATTCAGACTGAAGCAATGCAGCCATTTCTGGACCTGAAATATGATTTTGCAATCAAATTAAAAACAACAGTGGTACATTTCAACCAAGAATTAGCACTGCACAGCAAAGGAGGAGCGTTGTCGCGAATGCAGCTCCTTTTTGCAAAATAGTTATAGATTTATGCTGTATAAAGATGCATAAAAGTGATATTACACTCTGCATATATGCAGAAATTTGCTCATGGAAAAATAGGAAATTTACCTTGCACCGCCACCAAGCCACGTCCTTCAATCCTTTTCACGTTCACATCCTTCCCATTTTTCTGCCACTTTTGCATATTTTCCTGCAAAAGGATGCAAATATATCTGTGTAACCTCTAAACTAAAAACTTCAAACTATATTTGTTTTAGTGAACTTCAGTCCGTACACTCGTATCGATTCCTGTGCAGGCATCTATAAGTAATCAGTCTAAAATCGTAAGATTCCAGATATCTATGCCGGCGGTGGCTGCGCTGCAGAAGTAGAGAAATCGACAATTATGAAGATACCATAATGCACTCCTGGTACGGCAACTGTTGTCCACTGACGGTTGAGGAAGAATTGCAGATCGACGTCATGATGAACTGATAACAAGCATATTTTCATCAACCTTATTTTTTTTTTCCTTCACATTTATTAACAGATAACGACTCCGGGCACCAATGCCCATCCCCAACACACTTATCTTCTCTGACTTGAGCTAAAATTTTTTCAGAATCATACTGTAATCTTGATTCAACATAAGTACGAACCATCAAATACGAATAATCTTTATCGACGCATCCAGCATTTGTGACGAGATAAATCCTGTCCTGGTCAACCTTCGTCACAATCAAATCGTCCCGAATGCCACCGCTGTCATTGGTAAACACTGATAAGCAACCTTGATTTGCGCTCAGACCTTCCACATCAGCTGTTGTTAGTGCTTCGATAAACGCAGTACTAAATAATTTAAGTAATGGGATGTAGAAATTTTATGCTGAATTTTACTGCCATATTTCCTGACTTCAATAAAGCAATGGTTCTACAAAAAAAAAAAAAAAAAAAAATTAAGAGAGCACAGATGGGTTTGACCAATTTGCTGGCGGCTGAATTTTTATATATAAAAAGAAAAAAGTCAAAATTTCTCCGTAGTTATTACCCAGAAAATCAGAGACACTTAGAAGTAGTCCGACTAGTCGCAATTAGGACAACACAGACCTGGCAACACTGTCACTGGCTGTGGCTTTCGTGAGGGTTTCTGAGAAGCCAGCTGATGAGGGCTCCTGAGAAGCTAGCTGAATTTAGAATTTCAACAGAAAGCCAGTTTACCACTGAAACGAATGAACGAATCGTAAACATTTATAAGTGTTAGCGAGAAATCGTAACAATGTACCTGTGCTTCCCGATGATATATGTTTGCATCATATGCGATACGTCAAAGACGCTCACATGCTTTCTGCAAAAAATCCCCTATTTTACCTTCATTAAATGTACCAGGTAAGTTTCAGAAGACTGAGGGCACAAACACTGCATATCCGGAACAGTGGAAAGATGGCTTTAACTTTCAGTGGTAATTTTTAAATTCATCAGTGGCATTAAAAAAATGATTTCTTTTATTCTAAGGTTATAAATATGCTTCGGTGAACATGAAGTCCAATGGCCCTGGTGAAGTGGGCTTAAAAATAACAAATATTTCGCTTTGTTTTAAGCTCTGAACTAAAATTACACTATTTCGAGCTTGCAACTTGTGGTTTGAACTCGACTTTTGTTCCTGGACTGTGACAAAGGAGCACCGAATGTTAAGTCCAAGTTTTGGCCACTTGAAAAGTCAGGAATTACACAACCAAAATTATCTTTTTTTAGCTTTCACAGTTTCGAAACTGAATACACATACATACGTACATGCATACAAAAGCACTGAAGAAAAGGACCTCCCCCCC